AGCTTGGTTTCTCTTTGATTCAACAGATGTTTATTGGTTTTTGCTATGTGCTGGGCACTGTGCTAGACACCCCGGATCCAAAGCGTGGATCACCTACTCCCTGCCTTTATTACTTTGACATTTTCTATTCTTTATGAAAAGGTGGGAAAATTTGGAGTCATACAGACTTGGTTTGAACACTTGTCACGTTATTTTTGGCAAGTTACTTGAAATTACTCTACCAAATACTGATATACTATGTTATGTAGTTCAGGGTTTAATCAATGTATATATTTGTATTATTTTGAAAGCTTCTCATGTGTTTTCTTACGTGTGCTTATTCTGCCGCCTTACACAGGGTGGCAGAATCAACCGAGGAAGTGTCCAGGCTCCGTTCTCCCCGCCTGATCCACGAAGAGGCATCATTCGTCCTTACAACAGGCAGGAATCTGAGGGCTATGATTTATTTGAGGTATAAATTCTACTCTTCACGGTCATGAGTGAAATTTACTTTTAAAGATTTCTAGGATCAGGATTTCATGCGTAGTTCCTAAGGTTCCTGATTCATGAACTTTTTAAAGATTAGGGAACGTGGTTTGTAGAGTAGAATTTTGTAGTTGTTTGTTTTATTATATTAGCATAATGTGTTAAATGGGAAAAGCTGGTCGTTTTTTTTTTTTTTTCGAAACAGGATCAAAGCTTTTAGTGCAGAAAGGGTAATGTTAGAAGAAGTCATAGTCTTTACTACCATTTGCATGGTAGCTCATTTAGTTCACATTGTTAACTTCGGTCCCCTGCTTTGTAGCCAATCGCTGGAATTTCACTGCTTCTTTTTCTCCCAGCCAAATTAATTTATCTGGATTACATTGTAAACCTAGATTTATTTAGGTAAACAGAAGCTGGAGGAGAGAAAAAAAGATTATGTACAAATACAGTCTTTTTAAACGTTAAAAATTGCCTTAAGAATATGTTTGGCTTTTATTTTAGTTTTAATTTTACTGTATTTAAATAATACACACATGTATAAATTGCTACTCTCCCATGACTAGCTTTCCTCTAAAATAAACTTATTAATACTTTCCTACTTGGACTTTAAAATAAAATGACTCCTCATTGTTCTTAGCCTTCGGTTTTTATAGTATGTGATTACGTTTTTATCTTTCCGCATGCTTCTAACCTGATTTTCTTTCTTTTTCTGCCTGCACAGCAAGAACTGGAAATACAAGAGTAAATGTTTCCTATACTGCTACTTGATTTCATCCTTAAAAGTCAGAACAAACTGTGGTACTAATTGACTGTCCAGGTTTATTTAGAATGAGAGTCCATTTTAGCGAAGTTTTCTTTACATCTCTCACGCCTGTCTGAACTTTTTTTTGGTAGTGGCTTCACTACAGATAAAAAATGGTAGTATTCCTGGTGATACTGTGCAGGAATAAGAGATAAATAAAAAAAAAGAAAGGATGCAGGAAATGAGCTCTTTCCCATTTAATTGGTGGGACACTTTATGTCCTCACAAGTGGACACTTACTATCATTTTGAAAATTTCATCTTTTCTTATGGTATTCACGTGCATTTCCAGTAAAGTTGGAAAAAAAGAACAATGCTGAAGTCCAGTCTATTGTGTGTTCTTTATGTATGTGAGTACAGATGATAGGATTATATAACTGTGTTTCACAAAATCACCCTCAGTTTACTCAAGTTACAGGACGGTGGGACAAATGTTCTAATATTGCTCTGGGTCTGTCCCTAAACCTCAAATAAGGGTTGGCACATGAATTTTGAGAACATGGTCTTAATCTTGTTTTCTTTTTCAACTTGCTACTCCTTCTAGATAAATGACAATCATTTCTCTTTTTTAAAAATTATTTTTTGAGGGGAGGTAATTCGTTTCATTTATTTATTTTTATTTCTTAATGGAGTTACTGGGGGTTGAACCCAGGACCTCATGCACGCTAAGTATGCACTCTACCTCTTGAGCTATACCCTCCCTCCCATTTTCTAATTATTTTCTAATTATTAGTAATTTCTAAATATATTCTTAGCCTTTAGCATTTCTACTTTATAAAAATTAACTCTCC